TTCTTTAAAGAATGGAATCCGAAGTCTATGTGGAACACGAACCTTTTCACTTGAGAGTTGAGTTTTGATTTCTTGAAATTGATGTTCAATAGCAAGACATATTTTTTCTTTTACCTCACGAAGACCTCCGGTTGAAACTTGAAGATACTTCTTTAGTGTTGCATGCACACCTTCAGCTCTTGAAGTAGCCCGATTACCTAAGTGTGCAACCTCATCTGTCCATGCACTTACAAATTTTTCTTTCAATGGCAGCCAAGTACCTCTAATATAGTTCAAAACAGCTGCATTCTCCTTGTACTCATTTTCAAAACGATCCCAAGCTTTATCGAATGATGATTCATTTGGAGATTTGATTAAATCAGTCCAAGTAGATAGGAAAGCAACCCAATCAACTTCTTCTCTAAAATGAGGTTTACAATTTGCAAGAATGTTGTTCTCAATATGCCACATGCATAACAAATTACAAGCACTTGGGAATACAATGCGTATAGCATTCATTAAGGCCAATTCTCTATCTGATATGATCACCAATGGCTGATTATGAACTCCCAAAATTTTATTGAACATTTCTAGAGCCCACACATAATCCTTCTCTTCTTCTTTTTGCATGAAGACAAAACAAGAGTAGAATGAAGTGTTGAAACTTGAAACTCCTATTATATCCAATAATGGCATCTTATACTTATTAGTTTTATAAGTGCAATCCATCAAAAAGACATGTGGGTAACTCTTACTCAATTCAATTGATATAGGATGAGCAAAAAACAAATGAGTCAAATGCCCTTCTTGGTCATACTCAATGTTATAAGAGAAACCACCTTCACCAAGTTCATCCACTAATGCTTGAATAACAGTACGTCCTGCTAGGCTCTCTTCCAAAATTTTAGCCTTCTTATTGTAAATGTTTCTGGAAATTGCTTGAAGATGAGGATTGCTCTGTCGAAGTGAAGAGAGAATTTGGCGCGGTGGTATACCAGCCATACACATTTCTTTAATCCGCATAATTTCCTCATTTGAAAATCGACGACAATAGGGATGTCCAGACATGTCCGTTGAAGGTTCATGATTATGCAACAAACTTTTAATCTCCAACTTCCAAAATCCTTGAAGTTTCCTTTTCTTTTTGCCCCAAATTTCAAATGGACAGTTTATGAGGCGAGATGCTGATTTCTTTTTTCTTTCCTCTAGTGGAACTTTTCTGCTTTTATAATTACCGCCTCTATCACAACCAAGGACAACATATATCTCGGATTTAGATCTTCTAATAACTAGTGCATACCCTTGCACAAAGGCAATCTTACGAGCAGCTTCAATGAGGTCATCCCGACTTTGAAAATTTTTGTTTGTCAAAGAGAGCATTTTGTCACTTTTATCAATCGATGCTTCACTGCCTATATCACAAACCATCCAATTTATATGAAACATAAACTACACATTGACTACAGCTATGAAGAATGTTTATGCTTCACTGCCTATCCCATATTAGTTAAGAATGAATATATATATATATAACATAATACGTACTGCTATGAGACATTTCATTGAGCAGTTGGTTGGCGCCTCTAATGGGTTGCACCAGCAGGTCACCACGACCTTTGCCCAAGGGCAATAATAAAGAGATAGCAATGGCACTAATTCAAATTTGTCTTTGTGTGCACACTTCTAATAACTAGTGCATACCCTTGCACAAAGGCAATCTTATGAGCAGCTTCAATGAGGTCATCCCGACTTTGAAAATTTTTGTTTGTCAAAGAGAGCATTTTGTCACTTTTATCAATCGATGCTTCACTGCCTATATCACAAACCATCCAATTTATATGAAACATAAACTACACATTGACTACAGCTATGAAGAATGTTTATGCTTCACTGCCTATCCCATATTAGTTAAGAATGAATATATATATATATAACATAATACGTACTGCTATGAGACATTTCATTGAGCAGTTGGTTGGCGCCTCTAATGGGTTGCACCAGCAGGTCACCACGACCTTTGCCCAAGGGCAATAATAAAGAGATAGCAATGGCACTAATTCAAATTTGTCTTTGTGTGCACATGAGAAGATAATGGGGCAAAAGAAAGACAGAGCATACAAAAAACTAACTCAAAATTGAATTGCAATTCATCAGAGCACCAAGTATTTCGTAAAACTGAACCTATGAATAAGATAATATGTAATGCTCAGCAAAGTGAATTTCTTTTTAATACAGAAACATCTTCTAGAGTTCAAAAAGCTTCCTTTTGGACACAGAGATGTAAACCATCAATACCATCTCCCCACAAGGTTAACAAATCCCTTATGAAAAGGTTAAACGTAAAGATACACACACATACATAAAACCAATATGCTAATTCGCTGCTAATGATCGATAAAGTTAGATTAAGTGAGAAATAAAACGTACCCTGCATAATATCTTGAGAATTTGAAGGATTACTAAATTCTGTCATTCCACTCAAATCACTGTTGCCCACCATGTCTAAAATCCTCTGCAACTCATACTCTAATTTTTGTTCTTCATCCATAGCTAACCTTTCACCAATAATTAAGAGTATTTGCTTTGGGTAGGAGAAGGATTGAGTATCTCTAGGTATGAGAAGTGGGAAAGACACGATGAAGGAGAAGAAGAGGGTTTGGGTATCAAAATAGAAGAAGACGCTCTGAAGAAGACGTTCTGACTTCTTTTTTTATTTTATGTTAACTTTTCTTAATTTTAATTATCAAAACATTAATTTAGAATTATCAAAACATTAATTTAGAATAAGGGTATAAGAGGAAAGAGAAAGAACAAAAAAGAAAAAAATTGATTATAAATTATTATAAAGCAAAAGGGAGTGTAAGTGGAGAATTTGGGAGTGGGGAAATCAGCTCCCTTAAAATAATATCATATGCATTTTGAGCTGTTGGATGGTGAATCATTTAAGGGTTAAAAACAATACTTTATATATATACAGAGAGTTTTCATTGAGGGACATTCTTTGTAGGGCCCACTCCAGATTGTATTTCACTAATCCAAACCGTCTATTTTGTAGATACTCATTCAAAGATATCTCTACAAAAAATTACTTGAATCTGATATCATTTAATCACTCAATTGAGTTTTTGAAATTTTAGTACTTTCTTGAAGCATCGTGTTCATTGATTTTGTAGGACACAATTGGATGTCGAAACGGTTTCCGATTTGTCTAATTTTTTGAAATTATGATCTATGAATATATAGACTTAAAAAAAATAGATGGTTTGGATCGTTGAAAATAAATTCGCAAGGTACCCTAAAGTATGTCCATGAAATAATTTTATTTGAAGAATCCCTCAATAAAAGCAGACTATATATATACAATTTTACTATATATATACAATTTTGCTCTTATGCCGACGTCCGCATTTTGTTAAACTACAGTTGTCCTCAGATTTGCCAATGAGAAATGCTAGCAACCTTCTCTCCAACCTTCTCTTTTGGACCTTCTCCATTTTCTTCATGACATGTGTCCATTTCCTTACACTAAAAACAATGTAATTAATGCATCAAACAAGTCATCATTAGTTTTCCAATTTTACCCTTATTAAATATATTGATTTTACTGTTTTCTTTAATTTATCCATTTTTTTTTTACAAACTTCTTACCACCTTGTTAAAAATTAATTTAAAAAAAACGTTTTTTTCAAAAGACTCTAAAGGGCATGAGACATTTCAAATCAGACTTAAAAATTTAATAAGAAAAAACGTTAGTTTTATTTTTTTGTTGCCTGAAAGATTCCACCTGAAGTAAGGAGAGACATTGGTTTAAATATAAATTTGGTATGCCAAAATTTTAGGATTTTGTTTTTTCAAATAATCAGACTCCAAAGGCAGCAAGGGATATAAATAAATATAAATAAAACTATGAACTTCCTATGGAATCTAATTATTTGGGGTTATATATATATTTTAGTTGTCACTGAAAATGCCCTTTAACTTTATTTAGTAGTATAAAAAAATGCAATTAATGAAATTCCTATTGAGTGTTTTTTTAGGTCATTCTTTTGTGTTTTAAAAAATAGAAGTTTTATCTCTGAAAAAAAACTGACATTTTTTATTATTTAATTTTTTACATATGGTAAGAGAGTTGTAAAATTGTTTTTGAACAAATTGAAGGACAAAACATTTAATAAGGGTAAACTTGGAAAACAAATGTTAGCTTGTTTGATGCATTAGTTACATTGTTTTAAGTGAAGGAAAGTGACACATGTCATGAGGAAAATGGAGAAGGTCCAAAGGAGAAGGTTGAAGAGAAGGTTGCTAGCATTCCCCTTTGCCAATATATGTGTACATACATGTAAAAGCTTACATGCTGCCAGATTACTTTCACCTTGGCAGAGGTGTGGGCCCTCCAAAAAGTATCCAAATGTGGGAATATGGAGATGCAAAAGAAGAAGCAGTAGCATTGGTTGCTCTCAAGGCTCTTGCAACGTGTTAAGCACTTTGTACTAAACTGCCATTTTTAATCAATGCATCCAACAGCCTTCTTGTGCTAATTGGAATTGCACGAATCAAATCCACCTCTTTTGCCAAAAAAACAAGTGGTAACTGGCACAACCGTAGTTTAACAAAATGCGGACGTCCGCATAAGAGCAAAACTCTATATATATAAAGCATTCTGTTTTGTTAACCAATTTTAAACATGAAAGAACCTATCAAAACCTTTGATTGAGTGTGGTTTCGGTTCATCTCTAATTGGTTAACCCGATCTCTTCCTATTTGATTCATTTGTTTGAATCCGGAGTTTAGTTTTAGGAGGAGATTTTCAAGGCCATCTCATTTCCAACCAACGAAAATGGTATTGTAGTCAAACGGACTTTCTTAGCCATACCCAACCTAAATGGTGATTGTATATGTAGTTCCCATGTTCAATAGCCAATTGGCTTAAGATTATTGGCTTGGCTTGCGTGAGTTTATTCTTCAGCCTTTCTTTTGGGTTAGTTTGGGTATGACTTTGAGACCAATTTATTAATCAACTCAGGGAGGTGAGCTAACTATTGCTTTTTTTCCCACTTCCTACAACCACAACTCATCAAACTCATTAGATAGATGCTTCCAAGTCCTCAAAGTCACACATATTTTCTCTATAAAAGCCCAATGGATACTGTCTGCTCTTCACAACAACAAAACAAGATATTAACAAAGAGACTTGCCTATAGCCCTAGCAGCTCCTTCAACTCAACCATGGCTTTTCCCAAGCTTTTCTTCATTTCGTCTTTGCTGGTGGCGATTTTGTCAGCCTCAAGCACCCAAATGAGCCATGCAGCTCGCCACCTTTTGGACACACCAGCAGCAGCTCCACCCCCAACACTGGCAATCCCTACAATCCCCTCTCTGCCAAATCCCACTCAGCTGCCTCCCTTGCCTTCACTGCCAACACTTCCCAAGCCCTCAAACACCTTGCCTACACTTCCAACTGCCCCAACTCTGCCCAAGACCACATTGCCTCCACTTCCCTCAACCCCATTGCCTACACTTCCAACTGCCCCAACTCTGCCCAAGACCACATTGCCTCCACTTCCCTCAACCCCATTGCCTACGCTTCCAACTGCTCCAACTCTGCCAAAGCCGGCCACCTTGCCACCGTTGCCCTCTACCCAATTGCCTACTCTCCCAACTACTCTGCCCCCATTGCCAACCTCCCTACCCCAAATCCCATCTTTGCCAAAATCCACATTGCCTACGGTGCCCGCAACCCTCCCGCCATTGCCATCATTCCCCTCAACAATCCCTTCAATCCCCACCATTCCAACAACAATTCCATCGATTCCATTCTTCTCCCCTCCCCCATCCAATTAAACTACTTGATATATTTATGCCATGTTTCTCCATGATTACTAGTAGAAGTATACAATCCAGTTTCTTGTCTGTGCTGGGGAGTCTTCAGAATATATGATTTGATGGTTTCTTCTGTTTGATGGTGGCTTATTAGTGTATGTATACAGTATACTTGTGACAGAGAGGCTGTGAGGGATGTTATTTTCCTTGAATTCTTTCTTTGTTGGGATCTTCTCGATATCTATTGTAGCGTTTGTTGTTGTATTAATTCTTGTTATGATGAATTATAGTATTATTATCAAAAGGCTTATTCTTTATTATATATAATATATGATCTTTGTTATGGAAACCTACTGGTCACGTCACGGACTATATATGCAGTACCCAAAGCCTGAAGCTGAAAAGGAGAATATATATTATCTGTATATCTATAAGAGACGGCCGAAATGCATAATAGATTACTAGATACATAGCTTTAGGAGGGACGAAACGCTAACATATGATGCCATTTACTACAATGCTATGTGATTGGGTGCAATTACAAGTATAAATCTTCAACCAAATCCATTGACAGGATCCTCAGTATAAATTTTCATGCTATTGTGCTTCAACGAACAAAAATGCAAAGAAGATTTATGTAAACAATATATTACAAGCTATTTAATCGCAATAGGGAGTAATGCATAACATCATCTCCAGCAACAATAAAACTTGCATAACAGCGTTGCTCGAAAGCTGGCAGCGCCACATGGCCGAAGTTTACATATGAAATTAAAAAGAATAACAAGGGTAGATAATTTTGACATTAGGGCGTAAAGAAATAGGAGTGTTGGGATCAATAGGATTTTTCAGAATTGGAGTTTTGGGAAGTTTTCTAGGTCCATGTTTAGAATGTCGAACATTAGCCAGAATCTTAGAAACTTCAGAGATCTTATGAATTCTGAAAATATCACCACCATGTGGAAGAGAGGAGCGAAGGCGAGATGGAGTTTTCAAAAGGGAGTAGAAAGAGCCCCTTCACCATCAATGGCTTGCACTGCAACCAGCATAAGTAAAACCAGTGTCACCATCATCTTCATCATTAGCATATACTTATGCAAATATGACTATCATATATTCTCTCTTAAAGTTTTTGCCTTATTTGTAGCGTTTGTAACTCATGCATGGTTTCAAAACCATAAATATTAAATATTAAATAAAAACACAATTAGAAGGTTTAGAATCAAATTTTACCTTTCTTTGGGGTTATTGTCCTATGGGAAGGTTCAAGAGGAAAGGGAGACTGTAATAACCAATTCACCGCTCTGTCATAAAGTTGAAAGTTCTTCTAACAAAAAATAAACAAAAGGATGACCTTCATGTAATTAATTAATAATTCATCAATGGGATGTTAGTTGAATTGGCTTAGGTTTTTGGTGTGCTTCCAAGTGGTCCTGAGTTCAAACTCCCATGGTATCCGTGTGTGTGAGTTCCCCTTTTCTAACTTTGGCAACAACAACAAAAATCTAATGAGTTCTTTAAAAGTAATCAATTAATCAATTAATATTTTATCTAGTTTGTTACACTCTCAATTAATTGAGGTGTAGGTATTCTTTTTAAATTCGTGCTTTTATAATTGAGGTGTACGTAATCAATTAATATTTTATCTAGTTTTTGCTTTTATAAATTCGTGCATCATACTCATATGTACGTATTCTTTTTAAGTACTTTAATTTTTCACACACCTCAATTATACGGAACTATACTTGTTTTTTAAACCAAACGTATTATACTTGCATTATTCAAGTATATATTTTTTATGTATAATCCATGCATGTTGCGTATATTTTCCATAAAATACAGAATGGTTGAATTTTTACCGTATTTTTTTTATAAATTTTTTTTTCCAAATAATGCACATACAAATTTTATGTACATTTTCTCGGTCTGGTATTTTACTAAATACAAAGAAGATATATATAAAATGCGGTACTACTATGATCAAGCGAAAGTTATCAAATAATTTGCAAAATGTTAACAATGAAGATTCATAAAGTATATCAAAGTTCTTGATCAATACCACCAGTTAGTTTATAATGGTACTTTTTCCCAACTAGGTATTATTTAATGGTACTTTTTTGAAAAGAAGATTTCATTCATATAAACCAAAATAGGCATACATAGATCGACACGAATATAGTGGCCTCATTAAAACTTTCTTAGGAAAACCACATGGGACAAACTCAGGATAGGAAAGAGTACCACACATGCTATAAACAAACAAAAGAGTCCAACTCATGCCACTTTGGACCGCTACAAAGAACTAGAATAGAAAAACAAATAACCAAAACAAACTACCAAATGACTAGAAAACCAACACACAGGAGACCCCGCAATAGAGCACACCAACGCATCCCAAACTGTCAAAGAAAGTCTTATATGATAATAATAATAGTTTAATTGTACTTTTCTTTCAAAAGTTAGAAGAAATCTCCCCCCCCCCCTCCCCTATTGGTAACAAAAGTTAATGAAACTTGTTTAGCTACACCGTTTTCCAACGGTACTCCATTAGTTCCGTTTATTTCATTTCCAACCCACTATAATCGTAACAGACGGTTATTTCTATTTCATGGTAAATATACGATAAGACCATCATTTTAACTTGAAATTATACATAAACTAATGATCTACCATGAAACCAGTTAAACGAGGAGACGCATTAAGGTCTCTCAAGGGGAGGCGTCTCATCGCTTTCAAGAGGCGGCAAATTGCCTCCTCAACAATTAAGCGTGAACATAAAAATTGCCTCTATGAAATCGTACGTGGAGAAGCCTCCCATTGGGAGACCTCAATCAATCCAGTGTGTCTCCTTGTTTAACTAGTCTTCATGGTAGATCATCAGTTTAGTATAATATCAAGTTAAAATGATCGTCTTATCGTATATTTACCATTAAATAGAAATAACAGTTTGTTAAGATTAGTGGGATGGAAATGGATTAAATGGAAACTAATGGTGTATGGTGTAGCTAAACAAGTCTCATTCAAAATAATAATAAAATAAAAATTAGCAATAGGGGAGGGAGAGATTTCTTCTAACTTTTAAAAGAAAAGTACCACTAGATTATGCCGAATTGGTAAGTAAATCCCATTATAAACTGACGTGGTGATTGATCATGATGAACTAAGGTTATGAATATTCTTCGTTGTTGTTAACAAACATTTTGTAGATTTTTAGATGAGTAATCATAGGCAGTGGTAACCCATCTTGTATATATCTTCCATTTGTAGTTAGTAAAATACCGGAAGGAGAAAATATGCATAAAATATTTACATGCATTATTTGGAACTTTTTTTAAAATACGATAAGGATTCAACCATTATTTTATATTTTAAAATTATTTATTTTCTTCTTTGAAATAGCGTAAAACATGTGAAATAATAGATAAATATATGCAAAATGCTTGGATTATATACATCAATACACGAATAATGCACGTATAATACGTTTGGTTAAAAAAATACATACATATACGATACACGAATTTATAAAAGCTTAATTGAAAATGTAACAACAACTAGATATAATATTAATTGATAATGAATTTATTTTTTGTTTATTTTTTGTTAGATGAACTTTCAACTTTATGATAGATAGCCTTCTTGAGCCTTCTCATGGGACAATAACCCCAAACAAAGGTAAAATTTCATTCTAAAGCCTTCTTGTGTGTTTATTTTTGGTTCTGAAACCATGCACGAGTTGCAAACACTACAAATAGGGAAAAAGAAACTTTAAAGAGAGAATACAGTCATATTTGTTCAGGGATGCTAATGATGAAGATGATAATGGTGCCACTGGTTTTACTTATGCTGGTTCAAGTGCCAGCCATTTATGGTGAAGAGGCTCCTTCTCTTCCCTCTTCATCTCACTCCCTTTCGAAAATTCCATCACGCCTTGGCTCCTCTCTTCCACATGGTCATGGTGATGCTATTTTCAGGATTCATAAGAGTACTTCTGAAATTTCTAAAATTCTGGCTAATGTTCAACATTTTAAACACCGGCGGCCTAATAAATTTTCCAGAACTTCTATTTCTATTCCGAAACCTCCTATATCCTAGAGACTCCATTTCCCGACAATCATATTCCTCTAAGCCCTAATGCCAGAATTATCTACCCTCCTTTTTCTTAATTTCTAATGTAAACCTAGGCCATGTGGCGCTCCCAGCTTTCAGGATCTATCCTGCATCAGATGATAGACATTCACCTTTTCCAGCAATGATGTTATGCATGTTTTTTTGCTGGAGTTGATGTTATATATGCATGTTACTCCCTATTGTTGTATTTACTTTTGTTATCATTTTTTATATGTAAGATTTGATGGTTATTTTCAATAGTTTGTTCGTTGAAGCACAATAGCTTGAAAATTTATACTCCTTAGGAACCTGTCAAGGGATTTGGTTGAAACAAAGAGTAAAACTTCATAAAAACTGGTTGAAGATTTATATTTCTAATCCAACCATTCAATATGACTTTGTAGTAAATTAAATGGCATCATATGTTATTACCGTCTAGCTCTTATCGATTTACTATTACGTATCGTATCTCTAAATAGAGATATGGGTTCCAATGTTGAGGTGGTACACAATGTGGTACAGAAATGTGATCTCATCACTCATATTGCACACAGTCGACAACATGATGAATAGCATTTCCATGACAAAGATCATATATAATAACAAGAATAAGCCTTTTGATAATACCATAATTCATAACAATAATTAATACAAACAAACGCTACAATAAGCCAACAAAGAAAGAATTCATTTATATAAAAAAAACTTCCTCACAAGCTCTTTATCACAAGTATACTGTATACAAAGACTAATAAGCCACCATCAAACACAAGAAACCGTCATATGTTCCAGGACTTCTGAAACCCACCAGCACAAACAAGAAATTAGATAGTATATATACTGGTAAGCGTGGAGAACCATGGCATATATATGTCAAGTGGTTTAATTTGATGGGGGTGGGGAGAAGAATGGAATCGATGGAATTGTTGTTGGAATGGTGGGGATTGAAGGGATTGTTGAGGGGAATGATGGCAATGGCGGGAGGGTTGCGGGCACCGGAGGCAATGTGGGTTTTGGCAAAGATGGGATTTGGGGTAGGGAGGTTGGCAATGGGGGAAGATTAGTTGGGAGAGTAGGCAATTGGGTAGAGGGCAACGGTGGCAACGTGGCCGGCTTTGGCAGAGTTGGAGCAGTTGGAAGCGTAGGCAATGGGATTGAGGGAAGTGGAGGCAATGTGGTCTTGGGCAGAGTTGGGGCAGTTGGAAGTGTAGGTAAGGTGTTTGAGGGCTTGGGAAGTGTTGGTAGTGAAGGCAATGGAGGCAGCTGAGTGGGATTTGGCAGAGAGGGGATTGTAGGGATTGCCAGTGTTGGGGGTGGAGCTGCTGCTGGTGTGTCCAAAAGGTGGCGAGCTGCATGAATCATTTGGGTGCTTGAGGCTGACAAAATTACCACTAGCAAAGACGAAATGAAGAAAAGCTTGGGAAAAGCCATGGTTGAGTTGAAGGAGCTGCTAGGGCTATAGGCAAGTCTCTCTGTTAATATGTTGTTTGCTTGTTGTGAAGAGCATACTATCTCCAATGGGGTTTTTATAGAGAAAATATGTGTCAAGACATTGAGGACTGGAAGCATCTACATGAGTTTGATGAGTTGTGGTTGTAGGAAGTGGGAAAAAAGCAACAGTTAGCTCACCTCCCTAACTTAATGTGTTCCATATTCAAAACCAAACTAACTCAAAAGACTAGGGCATAAACTCATGCCATGTGTCCTCCGTTTGATTATAATCACCATTTTGGGTATTTAACAAATAACAACTTACTTACACTGGATGTTACTATAGCGGTATTTCAAGTCAATCACGTACTATCATGTAATTTAATTTTTTTTTTCACACAACAATATGTGGTTTACATGACGTGATTGACTTGAAATATAGCATCCCTTTATATGAAAGTTCTCATCCATAATCCATGACAATATGTTCTCTATGTTGACCAAAGCATTAAAGGAAAGACAATACATTTCGTCCCCCTTTCGACTCTTGGGCCGCTTTGGGCCATGTTGAATGTATCATTTCAAACAATAAGGTAATAATTCCATCCGCCTTTTTGGTTTTAATTTTATTTATTAATTTATTATTTCTGAATTAAGAAGACTTCAGAAATTTTTCGAACAGATTTATCACTTTAGTAAAAGACATGTTCCTCAGAATCAGAGAACTCTTTCGAGTAGCATGTGACATCAACTATCTTCTACAATCTGTTCAACAAGTCCAGATCACCTTCACACTTTTATTATTTTATTTTTTGTTTGAAAAGATGTTCATTTAAACTTGTAATATCTTTCAACAAAAGGAAGAGAAATATTGCCTGCATCAACATTCTATTCTGAATAATTAATTATATATGTTTTTTTTAATACAAATGATAGTCTAAATTATAAGAGGAAGTAGGGGTATCTCACACACACTACTAAAATAGCATAGATATTTGAACATAAGTACACTAGTCTGCCACCATTTTCACTAAACTAGACTCGTTGGCAATTAATCACATATGTTTAGGTCATGCATTGGCACTTGCAAGCCCAAATCATACAATTAGTAGCCGACAGTACCAACATAAACACAGACGTAGACTACAATGATTGAGAAAATTAAAGAATTTTTTTTTTCTGCTCTCTCTAAGCACTTTAGTTAGGCAATATTTAATTACCAACCAAAATTATCAATAATTCCCAAAGCGACATCACAAATATGCTTCAAACCCTCCTCTCTTCTTGCAAGTTCTGGAGGATAAGCCAAAGCTGGGTACCTTTTGAAAGCATTGTGGCAAGCATTTGGGTAGTCAGCAGCTGCATTGATGTGCATGGAAGCATAATCATATGATTCTGAGGCCAAATCCTGCACTGAAGCTTGGAGGGCATCTCCAGCAAAGCCATACTTATCAGCACACTCCTTGAGCACCTTCTTCATGTTTGTGTCATTGTTCTTTGAGCTCACTAGTTGAGAGGACAAGTAAGATGAGGTGGCACTTGCATTTGCCATCCCAATCCCAACCATAATAACTGCCAATCCCTTTGTGTCTGCAGTTTTGCTTGTGGGATCAGATTTGAGGGTTGAGACACAGAGGCCATAGTATTTGGTGTTCTTACAAGTTTTCTGGATCAAATTTGAGTCGGCAGTCACAAAGAAATTATGGGTTTGGGGAGGAAATGCAAGGGAAAGAAGAAAGAGAGAGAAAATAATAGAACCCATGTGTGAGAATGTTATTTTTCTTTTGGATCTAGATTTTCTTATGGAGGAAGAGAGCAAAGGAAAGGCAGATAAGGATTAAAGGAGGGTTCAGATTTTTTTGAAAAAATTATTTTTTCTGTGGTTGCAACTTGGGATGTAAGAGATCTATTGGGTGCCTTGACTTGTGTCACAAATGAGCTGTTTTCTCGTTGCACTTGCTTTATTGAATTCAAAGAAGGAGAGGGGCTTTATTAGGCAGAAAGCTACGAAAACGATGCCAGTCATGAGGCCCTGTTTGGCAGCTACCTAAATCCCAAAACATAAGTCACGGGTCATAGATAACAAAAACAAACAGTTGAGACCCTCAATCCAATGCTCTTTTTTGATGAGTTCTGAAATGCGTTGGTTTTTCATATAGGGAATCTTGATGAAATGACAAGTGAAGAAAAAGAGCTTGGGAAGGGCCATCATTGAGTTTAAGGAGCTTTATATAGAAAATTTATGTTTCAACATTTAGTAACTTATTTATTCAGCAATTACTTTATATTTAATTTACTTATGATTTTATGCATTTGATCGTAATGAGATTAATTTGTGTTTGGCTTGAGATTGCTTATTTCGTCATCAATTTCCAAGTTGTTGTGTTTAATGCGAGTTGAACGATGACCTAAAATGTAGACAGTTTTAATTGTTAAACCACATTGTTTGAGTAATCCGATGAAGAATTAACAAACAAAATACGGATACACTTGTTAATTATGTAAACTAAATGGATTACCCTCTTTATTGAGTAGTGCTAATGATGCTCAAGATATTTACCAGTAGCCCTTGGAAATCAAATCATCGTTCATCACATAAAGTGTCTCCATCTGTTTTTTTTTTCTTTTCTTTTATTTGCTTTAAGCTGACATTACCAGTTATTAATGATATGATTATGATCAAATTTTGAGAGGAGCTGATCACCAAAACAGATGAGAATCGTATATTCTAACAATTCAGACAACAATACAACAAAAGCATTACACATGTTAAACTGAAATGACTAGAAAAAACAATACATCTATATCTAGGACGCATGCATGACAAGAACAAATTTCATAAGACAAACAAACACGCACTCTTCAATCTTCTCAAATACAGAACCGTTTAACAATAAAACCAACATCTATCTAATATAGGTCAAATGTAGATGTCGAAAATCAAACAGGGCAGCACTAGCTGTTTAATTTGATGGAGGAGGGAACAGGGAAGGAACTGCTAGAATTGTTGTTGGAATGGAGGGGATTGAAGGGATCGTAGTTGGGATAGTTGGCAATGGAGTGGCAGGAAGTGGAGATAGAGTGACCTTGGGGGCAGCAGGGATGGAAGGCAATGTTGGAATATTTGGCAAAGGGATTTGGGTTCTTGGGATCAAAGGGGTTGTTGGCAATGTGGGTTTAGGCAAAGTAGGAAAGGAAGGCAGTGGAGGCATAGTAGGCTTGAGAGTGGGAAGAGAAGGAATTGTAGGGAGTACCAATGCCGGGGGTGGAGCCGCCATATCCAAGAGGTGCCGAGCTGCCAGGCTCATATCAATGCTTGATAAAGACAAAACTGCTACCACCACAGATAGTAGGAAACAATGCTTGAAAGCAGCCATTGCTTCTTGCTTGATATGCAAGGAACTTGTGTTATTTGTTTTGAATGGAAGGGTTACATTCCTAATAGGTTTTTATTGGGAGTGAGTCGATAGGTTTCTCAGTGTTTGACGAAATCTGGTTGTGGTAGTGTTGAGAGGTACTGGGTGGTTCACCTCCCCAAAATGGATCGAAGCCTAATCAATTTAAAACCACCAACCCACCGTTTTAGGGTATTGCTTAGGCAATCTCTCATGTACCAAAAGAGAAGGTAACTTTTGCTAGTTTTGATCTTCAGATATCAAGTTTGAATAGATTTGTGTAAAAATATTATGCATGTGAATTCGTCAAATTGTTGCTTGATTCAAGTTTCATTCATTTACTTAACATTTGCATTGTATTGACAAGCCAATGCCATCTTGTTAAATTTGAATTTGCAATGAATCTGGTTACTCATCAACCGCCCCAGGTTTTACTTCCGGTGTTGTGAACAGTGTTTGATGTTATATGCTAGTTTTGTTCCAAATATAATCAGAATAATGTACCAAAAATAGCTGAATAACAGACACTAATTACCACCTCATTGTATAGTTAAATGACTACAATCCATATAAATGAAACGTCGCAATACTTGAAAGTTAACTTGAGCCTGCTAAGACACTGAAATTTTCAATGAACCATACAATGTTGTATCCAATAGGACTAGCAGCCATTTTCTTTCTCTAATGGGAGAGAAGGTTTGAAAGCGCTTATTTTGGATCTATATGAAGAAGAATGACCAGTTATATAGGGAGAGAGAGTAAGCTGATGAGTGGTGTTTGAGGAGATGTGGTTGGGGAAGCTTTGTATTCCAATACTAAAAATGGAAAACAAAATGCAAGCCACATTAACCATGAAGATTTAGAACTAAATGGTGGGCCTTACAGTGCTAGCATAAATGCCAAACCACCCAGAATCATTGAAGATGCTGCAGATTGTATTTGGAGTTCGAGTATGACTACTATGCTACTTCTCAGAATCACTCGTTTTGTAAACAGCGAGTGGTGCATAAGTCCCTTTAGAGATAGGGGCGAGTTCTACACGAGCTCGTAAATAAAGTACGGAATCATGTAACTTGACCACCTTACTATAGAACCACCTGATCAGACCAAGAAGAAACACATAGCAAAATGTTTAACAGAAGGCAATTTTTTAAATGGAATCGATCTCTGGATTAAACAGCTATGACTATCAGCTTAGACTCGACACGAAGTCTGATCCAAGAAGAACACAATGCTGTGGGCAGCATAAAATAATAGTTCAGCACTAAATTTTTAAACTTGCACCCAAGTCCATAAAATAAGAACATATTTCTTCTCATATAACGAAGGCTGTCCTATATACAACATGTCAGGTAAACAAGCAACCTTCAAGAATAAGTTAATCTTTCGTACCAACTAGTTTAATTAATAAATTAAATATCTCTAAACAATCTGCAGCTGCTTTAGAGATTTTTCTGTATATTGGGGTCTTACCTGTAGCAAAAGATTGCTTCCCAGCACAGCAGACGTAAAACGTATGTACCAGTCTTGAAATGCTTCATCATGAAAATGTCTACACTAGCTAAGGCTGTTTCAACGCTTATAGAACACTAAGTCACGGCTACAGTGGCTTTTGATAGCATCCTCCAATTTCTCAATACGGTCAAAATCAACTTGGAAAGTAACCATGGTGATGCCATCTTTACCAGTCTCATAATCTTGCTTGATGTCTTCAACTTGAAACGACTGTAGCTGTAAACATCAAAATACAAGAAATGGGTACACTTAATAAATTTGATCATCTCAACGCAAAGGGGGGAGCTATTGTCATGCATCTGAACCAGCTCACCTGATGGTATAGAACGCCCAAAAGATCAAATGGAACCTCCACACCCATTCTCACCTACAGAGAGAAAGGATAAGATCATATATTACAAAATTTTAACAACGCAGAAAAGGAATTTCTTTTGGGGTGAAAAACTTAATTCAGCTTTAATTCAAACCAAATGATATTAATCCAGACATTCGTGAGCTTTGGTCCCAAGGAGTTGAAATACAAGCTCCAAATACGAGGCAAAAGAAGAAAACCCCCATCCATTTTATGATACTAATAGAGTAGATTACAATTTACAACCAAGAATGGACCGATATAGGGAAGTTCTCTCCCGTTCTAGTCTCCTTGCTTTCTGAAGCAGTAATTTTTTTTTTTCCTGTCAAGTAACTAAACAGGACAACTTTGACATACCAGTTGGAATAAAAGCAAGAAAGCTAATTAATACCTTGGATTTTACAAGACAAGTTGGGGCATTTCTCAAGCATTCTGAGGCAACTCCTCCATAAGCCCTGACAAGTCCTCCAGTACCCAATTTAATACCTCCAAAGTGCCTACGAAAAATAAATAAAATACAATCCAAAACACAATGTAAAACCAATAATAACAGAGACAGCACAGAACAGTGTGCATACATACTTAAAGAATAAATTCGTCAAACAAATGCGAGTGAAAGAAAGCATTTTGTAGTGGAAAACAAATCAATTTACCTGATGACGACCACCATAACTCTATCAATTCCTGAAGATTCAATAGCAGAATGAATGGGTTTTCCGGCTGTTCCCGACGGTTCACCATCATCATTAGACCGGTATTGATCTCCAACCTGATCAATTGCTCACCGGATTAATTAAAAAATGCCAATAACCAACCAAAAAGACAATGACAGTTTACAAAACCTAACCCAACCAACCTTGTACGCCCAGCAATTGTGAGTAGCACGTTGATCTCGGACCTAAAACAACAACCCATCATTTGCAACGGTTCTTAATTTTCAAGTTATTTTCTTTTTTGAAAAAATTGAAGAAGAAGAAGAGTGAAAGTACCTGGGAGAGGAAGGATTGAGCGGATTGTTCGTCGGGGATGGGACCAGCGATGGCGATGAACTTGCTCTTCTTGATCTCCTTTTCGAATCTCACTCTCTCTTTGATCGTCGTATACGCGCCACCATTGCTGCTGCTGCTTGCGGCGGTGGTCACCATGGCCTTGTTGGCTCCGGCGGCTATGCAGCCTATGCCTAAAATTGAGGCACAAATGCGAATGCTGCGATTGTGCTTAATGGGCGCTGCCCTCTGGTGGTAAATGAGATTGTATTTTGTTAATGCTACTGCTGGCATTTGATTTGGGTTTGAAATTCCTTTTTGCTTATTATATCCTTATACTCGTCGTCACCCACTGCTCGCTCTCCTCTGCTTATGTTCTGGTGGTGGTGGGGGAGATAATCCAAACGGTGTCGTTTTACTTGTCGCGGCCCCTATTCTTTCCTCAGACAAGACAAGAGTAAGGAAAAATGGATTATCGTATGATACTAAAATTATCATACCATATTATAATTATTCAAAAAAGGACCCAACGAAAGATTAACATGATTGACTACTTTAAATTATGTCAGTATTGGTAATAAACCTTAGTGACTTTATTATCCTATTTCCTACTTGCATATCAGCTCAAACCTCAATAAAATGTTTGAGCTGATCCTTTTGTTTTTCCATTTGCGCTTCTTACATCTCCAAGGGGTGGAATATGGGACCATACAAATTGCTGCTGGTCAATTTCCCTACTTCTACTCCTACCACTGCTAACTAATCCGAGGTTGACTTTCTACGATGTCTACTTCTGTCGCTACACAAAACTGTTGAGGTTCTTTCTCCGTACAAGCCGGTCATTGCCGCTGATGAATGCCTGCTATACTGGCTGTACCAGTCGGGTCCCGTTTCGCCAAATATGTAATCGGAGAGATCTTCGTTGCTGGAAGAGTCCTTGGTGCTCGCGGTGCTACAAGAACTTGCATCGGATGAGCTGAAAATGGATGAACTCTCACTTGATGAATCCAAAGCAGGATATCTGTGCGTTGGATGGAATCTCCAATCATCTGGACCTTGATTTAGTGATTGATTGCTGATGAGACTTGGAACCACGGAATTAGATCTCGATTTGGATTTGGTATGGCTGGAAGGAACAGCTTCCAAGTTCCTTCTCTTCAATTTCTCACCATTGGAAACGGCAGTACTTCCAAGAAAGGCCGGGGGCCGTGGGGTGCGCCTAGAAACATTAAATCTTAAGGTGTTTAGGACAAAGCAAAAATAGAAGATCATTTGTAAACTGGGCTCCGCAGGCATGTTACCTTGCATAAAGAAGCATGTATGCCCCTTGGGATAACACCCTCTTTAAATCCACAGGTTCAACCTACAAGATCATGCGTGTTCAAGAAATTTAAATAAAAAGTTTAAAACATCTCAATCCAATAATCATCAGTGTTCAGACTCGCAATTTTTATTTTTTTATTTCCCTTGAATTACACGTCTAGAAGAAGTTCAAGCACATGGATGCATACATGCAAAATTCATTAGCAGGTTTCTCGTCTTTCACTGGCCATAAATTGGAGATAGCAAAATACCAGAAAACAATGTATTATAATCAACTTCATCCAAGGACATAACAATAGATATATGTCTCCTATAAACAGGGATTCAAGCAGAAAGACAGTGCCACCCAGAAAGCAACAAATTAACATAAGGCCCTAACTAAGATGGAAATATGAGAAATGAAAGGAATACATACTGAACTGTCATCAATCTTGAACCACTCCCCTTGATTATTCTTTACATAACACACGTAATGGCCTGAATATGCAGCATTCATAATATCCAAGTGAACAACCACAGCATAAAGACTGTACAAAACAGATCTATCACTTGTTCCACCCATATATGGTGACATGTTGAGAACCTCTGGGAACCGCACCGACTTATTCAGCTTCTCAAAGTTACGAGACTGCAGTCATGGATGGTACAGAGCACACATTAATATTTCTAAAAAAATACATGACAATCAAAGTTCAAAAAAATATAAAAGAATTTTAATTACCTGAAACCGCTTCAACACAATTGTAAGGATATTTGGTGCCTCCATAACTGTTAATTTCTTTTTGGCTTTCTCATAAGATTTACACCTTCACAAATGTTGGGAACAAACAAGCATCAAAGAATTAGAAGAGTGGAAAAAAGAAGACTTGAGACCCACCCGAAAGAATACTTTATATAAGTAACATACTGAATCTAAAAATTTGTCAGGCCACCTAAGAAGATGGGTCAAATTGCCCAACCAAAGCGAGGAAAAAATAATTTTTGAACTAGCAGTGAGGTAGGTGAGCACTCTGTGATCATATTGCACTAGAATCTCCATATTTACATGGTTCCTCAGCTATAATCAGGCCACAAGTGTTAAGGCCTGTAGAGAAACACCTCAACAAAAGAACAACAAACAGAAGTGTTAAGCAAAGACACAGGTGTGTGATCATTGGGTGACAAGCCCACCATCGCCCCCCGTCCCCCACAACCTACCTTCCTCTCTCTATCTCTCCCAGTCCACAACCTATATAGTTGGTTGGCAGCCCAATTAGAAATAAAGCAACTATGCATGAAGACAGTTGCAAACCATGATCTAGGTGTTGGGCATTGAAATAAGATGTAATAAAGGGCCACAATGATAAAATAAGAGTTTTATCCCACAACTGAACAAATAAATAAAATTTATACTGGTGCAAATGAACCAACCTGCTACAATGGTACCTATTTTTTCCATCCAAAGTTTCAGTAGCCGTAAATTGTGCAAGAGCCTCTTCAAGAGTTCCAATTTCCCCGTCAATTTCGACAGTAAGATCCATCATCTGCTCAAATCGCTCAGATTTTCCAAGGCACTTCATACATGTTATCTGAGAATTCCAATCATGGCATCCCAAGAAATACCATTATTTATTTTTATTACAACATCAGAATGCACTTGTACATTTGTAAGTGAACAAAAACCCAAAAACATGTAAATTTTGACAAAATATCAAAAAAGTAACAACCTTAGATTGAAGGTAGCCTCCAAAAGTCATGCCTACTAGGGTTGTTTCTTCTGCCAAAGGACCAACAGCCCCGGCTTCCTTGAGACAAACAGATTGCATGGTATCAACAGCATACCTGCCATCTTAGTAATTGGTGAAATGATACATATTCAAAAAAGGAAGAGTAGCTCTGCAACAAAGTTCTATCTGGTTGTCTTTAGCTGGCTCACCTAAAAAATTCATGAGCATCTTCTTCCCTTCCATGGCCAAGATGACTTCCAATTTTATGTATTTTAGATAGTATCCTGATCGGGGACAGTAAAGACTTCCCTTCCCTTGCCTTCATAAGAAGAATTTCAAACTCACAGATAAAACACCAGTCATGCTTCTGACCTGGCACAGGGGTAAAATTTGTCAATGGAAAGGCCATCAAACACATGGTCCTAACAATTAAACTGGCTGTAAAAATTATAAAATCTATATCAAAAAAAATAAAAACATGTGTAAGAGTCATGAAGAGAAACTTGCATGCTCTAGAATGGAGCCCTTGAAGAAGATAAGAAGCAAGAGGCCGAGTAAATGCTAAACACTGGAGCACCGCATTAGCATAACAGCTGAGAAATCCAAAAAAATAAATAAATGTAGTATCAGCGAAAAATTCAA